TTAAACCACACCTGTAAGATTGAATATAAGAATACTGTCATGTTTTTTTGTCCCTTGTTTAAAGTGGCTACTGGAAAAGGTCTGGGAAAATAATCCTCTTAAGAATTAGCTCATTAGGAGAGGACTCTCTGTTTAAGTGCTGGGCAGAAAATGTTAGAAGATCTCTGTGTATTTGTGCAAGGATTTTGCTTGGATTTCTTCTGCCTTTTGTGCTTAAAGTGCATCAGGAAAGTCAGGAGTCACTGCAGAAATGGACTTCACCTTGTGGGGCAGATTCAAGCAAGGCTGTGATTTCTTCCTATGAATTTCCTTTAAGCAGAGAACAGCTTCCTCCAGAAAAGAATGAGCCTGTGGACTGGAATAAGACACTGGGAGGCTCTGACATACCAGTAAATATTGTACAGAGCACCTCATTATCCCCACAGCTTCATGGAGCTCCTCTCTCCTTGCCCATTTCCACCTTCCTACCTAGCTTCCTTCTGGTCCTAAAGGCACAACATTCACTGTCTTTCCCAAAAATGCATGATTCAGTTGGAGGGCTGCAGTAGCCTTTCCAAGGTGATGGATCACCTTGGTTGCCTATTAATTGCATCCCTGAAGTTACTGAAATCAGACACTACAATGTTAGATAACAGGGAGCCTGATATAAGGATTGATATCTGTGACATAAACTGCACAGATTTAACCAGATGGTGGATCAATATTCCTTATATATTTAAATTCAAGGATGATGTCTTTCAAAAGTGACTCACAGTTGTGTCTGCCTTAAGTTCTTCCCACATGGAAGCACAGTTCTGAAAATCAAGTTCACTAAAGCCAGCCCTAACACCAGGAGGAATGCAGATGAAATTTGCCAGCCAGTTTTCGAGGGTGATCCCATCTCTGGAAAATGCAGGGTCAAATCCCAAACTGCTGGCAGTGCACAATTTCCACAGTGGGACTTACTGAAGGCCACAGCAATGGAAGTTTGCTGGGAATGCATATTTTTCCACTGCTATCCCAATTTCTCTACCTAACTGGTTAAAAGCTGCACACGGAATTGAATAGAGAAAAAAAAAAAACCTCAGCTCAAGGGGATACTGAAGCCAAAAGAAAGATTTCCACTGATTCCAGTGGGGTTTGAATCTGCCTTGCCTCAGGTGCCTGCATTAGAGACACATTTAATCCTTTGATAGTAATCATTTTGCTCATTGAAGCTGTATCTGTGGAACCAGGACTGGCTTGGAAACACTGTGAATAGAGGACTTGTTTTTAGTGAGAGCCCTAAGAATCAGGAAAAATAAAGCTGCGGGATTGTGTCAACAAGCAACTGAAAATACACAAAAATAAAAAATATTTAATTAGATCATTATGCACAAATAGAGTATTATCAGTCTGTCTCAGCAGTTGTTATGGAATCTGGTTGGTTTTAACAATTCCTCTGGGGGTGGGAAAGAGGCAGCAAGGCAACCTGCTAATTAATGCAGCCATTAATAATTGAATAATCAATTAATAATTGAATACATTTGCAGATGATGGGCAAAGGATGGGAACTGCAGGGAATATGCAGAGTTTTGGTAGTACTGGAGGATTTAGCACAGATTAAAACACATTTAGTAGAAAACTCATGCAGACCTTTCAGTGAAAAAGATGCATGTGGTGCATACAGACTCTGTACTAATTTTTTTGCTAAAAATATTCTTCAGCCTCCATTGTCTGCAGGCCTTGCAGATGAACCATGGATTGGTGGCCCTTGCAAGGTAAGAAGTGGGAGTTCAGGTACAAATCCTCCTCCTTTCCTAACTTTAAATGCAGTTCTACTGTTGTATCTGAAATTTTGTGTTCCTGGACCCACAAGACATCCAGTACAAGGTGTGCAGGAATTTACCTACAGAGAACAGCTTACACACAAAACTGATTTATATTTTCTTTTCAAAAGCAAAATAATTAGACCAGACGGGGAACAGAGAGACCATCTGTGGTTAATTAAAGGGTGAGATTGCAGAGCAGCAACAGATGTTATATTGCTGTAGTCAGAGGAGTTTATTGCTAACAGTGGTGAATTTTGTGCATAGTGGACTGGGCATTTCCAACCAATTATTTAATAGGCAGACTTCCACAGAGGTCACCCTTTTCTTCTTGGAAAAAGGAAGGGTTTGAGTGTCATTAATGCTGCAGGAGTGGTCTAGATAGCAAAGTTGTTTATATCCTGAGATGAGGACTGAAAAGCCAGTGATACCCATCACAAAGAAAGGTATCTAGGGCTGATGATTAAAAGAGTGGGCAGGTCTGCATGAAGAAGACATGACAGAAAAGGCCAACATTCCCACAGCTTCACTCAGTTCCTGAAAACACCCTTTAAAACTAGAGATAAGCACAGTGAGAGAGTTCACGTGGCTTCATGGATCAGACAGATCCTCTAACTGATGGCATTTGAGTATGGAGTGACTCTGGAGCAGGGAGCTCCTTCCATCTGGGTCCATTTCTTCTCCCGAATAACTCCTCAAAGCTGTTTGACACTACCCTGCACCACCAGTCCCAGGGAGAAGTTGTGGCAAACAGAGCAGCAAACTCTGGATTTTCTGCTGGACAGGTAAACACACCTCACATTGTCTGATCTGACAGGCTCACACCCAGCTGGAGCTGGTAACACTTTATACAAGCCATTCCATTCCTCCTTTTTGTTGCTCCCTATTTGCACTGCTCTGATTAGATGTGGAGGTTCAAATGTTCCTACTGACGAGGCTCCATGCATACTAGAGCTTGGATCTGGAGGTTTGGTACTAGCTGTAACACCCAGTGTGGTGTTAGCTACTCACACACGCAGACATGCTGCTTTTCATTTGTTTGCCTGTTTAGCTGGGGTTTCCACTTTATATCTGGAGTGGTACAAAATGGCTATGAAATTCTGCACCAAATTTGTATGCAATTCCTCCTCTGCTTACTTTTTTTCCCCCTTTTCCCTGCAGAGATTTTAGCTGGTTTTCATTGCTAAAGCAAGGAGTCACAATAGCCCACAATAAATTTGTATGCAATTCCTTCTCTGCTTACTTTTTTCCCCCTTTTCCCTGCACAGATTTTAGCTGGTTTTCATTGCTAAAGCAAGGAGTCACAATAGCCCACAAGTTTTGTTACCTTTGTGCCTCTACTTGCATCCCTATCCCCTTGGTCCCCATGGAGAGCTCCCCATGCACATCTCTTGGAACAGCCATTCTCTTCTTCTGAAGCATGACTTATGGCAAGGGGGAGCTCTGTGGGTGGACTTACAATTATCCTGCTGGTAAAAAAAGGGAGAGATAAAGTCTGGCTTTGTCCAAAAAAGATAAGCTGGAACCTGAGAATGCCTGAATACCTGATCAGTGATCTACAATTACAGCAGCTGATGGGAAGCAGTGTTGGGAGAATCCAGAGGTTGCCATAGAAATGCAACAAAGGGTGCAATCCTCAGGGAGTGCACCTGAGTCAGGTATCACACATGTAGGAATTCTCAGTGAATGAAACTCTCAAGTTTAAGGGGGAAACAGCGAGTGTATCAGAGATAAAGATAATTGAGCTGCCTGTCGTGTTTGCGATATCAGGGGAGATCCCATCTGGACATCAGCTGGGATTGCTGCCGTGCCTCTTTCCCAGCCTTGTTTGGGTGAAATATATAAACCTCAGGAGAACTTGCAGAGCATCAGTGTGCATCTGCTGGCTTCTCTAGTTCCTTGTAGCAGGAAATCTAGAAAAACTTTATCATTTTTGGACCACAGCAAACATTTCAATTGCTTGTTATGGAAATCCTGTGTAACAACAACCTAATGAACTCGACTTTGGGATAACATTTTTCTGACTGCATTGGAGTGACTCACAGTTTTTAAAAAGGTATTTCCTGGGTGGAGGGAGGGTGTACAAAATGGTGCTATTTTAAGGAAACCCGTAATTCTGAATATCCTTCATCACCGTGCAACCTGCATGCAATCCCTTTCTAAACCCATTTCTGCACACCCTCCCACATTCCTGGAAAAAGGAGAGGAAGAATTATGACAAAAAAGATTGATATTTCTACTATTTAGAAACATATTTTCTCCCCATCAGAGGCTTTTATGGAGTGAAGAGAATTGATTGAATTTCAAAAAATTACGGTTGCAAAAAACAAGCAAATACTTCTAAACCCCCAACAGTTTCAAAACCCCAGGTCCACCAGCAGAGCATCCTCTTGGTGTAAAAGGGGAATAGATGCTATTAATATTGACTATCTTAATACATTAGATCATGGAATCCCCAACAGGGCTTTGTTGGCCTTTTGAAAGCAAAATGAGACAATTTGTTTTCGAGGAGATACTGTTCCCTCATTTAAATGTTGATCTTACAGGGAGGAAATAAAAGGTTATCATGAGGGAGCCAAAGATTTAAAAAGCAAACAAACAAACAAAAAATCATTCAATCACCTTACAAAATTAAAACAAAACAAAACAAGGACTTTTGACAGGGAAAAAGAGGAAAGCATTTGGAGAGGACCAACTCTTTTTGAACAAAGTAAAATATTTGTAATTTTATTCCAGACATTATCTTTTTAAACTCCATTTCTATGTTGAAGGAATAAAAAACCCAAAAGTAAATTTTAAAAATGAAACTCCATGAATTTTTTTTTTCATTTCAGCTCACCCCAAAACAGTTTTCCCATTTTGATGTGCCTTAATTTGGGCACTGAATGAAAAAAGAAATTATTTTCGCAGCTCCCATTATGTACCAAAAGCTGTCACAGAGAATATTCTTTTCATCTAAGACATTAGTAAAATCTTAGGCTTCAGAAATATATAAAATAAGATTATTATGTTAAAGAGCATTCTGAATAAAATGGCTGAAGCTGAAGTATTTATTTTGGTTTGTATTTTTTCTGGTTTTGGAAGTATTGTTGAGAAGACACAATGAGAAGAAAACCTTTTGTCCAGACTCTGAATTTCAAGCTGGGTTAGAGACAAAATCAACAGGAAAAGAAACAGATTTTTAAAGAAAGTTTAATTTTCATTCATGGCAGAGTAATGTTATTCCTTAAATGCTTGTAGGTGAAAGCTTGATTAGTGAATATATTTATCTTCCAGGGAAATGCAGTTCTGCAAAATATTTTACTTTACAGTAAATCACAACAGCAGCAATTTTTGTAACTTTACATTCAGTGTACATGGAGATGCCACATGATTTACATGATTTACTTGATTCCATTCTCACTTCTGAGCTTTGCACTGATGGTTCAGTGGCATGATTCTTCTTGACACTGGCTGAATTCCAAGTCTAAGTGAGAGGAGAATCAAACATGCAAGGTTTGGTTTTTAGCTTTTTGTTCAGGACAATGGGTGCTAAGGAGGTTCCCTGGTTCTGGCACCTTCAGCCATTCTGACGGCCTCCCTGCTCACCAGCACATCCATTCCAGCTCCTGCTAAGCAAAGCACAATATAGCCATAGATGCTACTGTCCAGTGATTTAAATTCCTTCTCTTGCCACATCTCCCAGAGCCCTGCGTGCCCTCCAGAGGTGGCACCCTCTGGCAGCGTAGGTTAGGAAGGCACAAAGACTCCTTCAGACCCAACATGTTTGCAAATCCCCTTCTGGCAGCTACAGCCAATGAGACATGAGGTGTGTGCACTTCTCCATGGTCAGTCCTTCTCCACAGTCAGTCCAACCTGACCAAGGACAGAGACTAAAGCAGGAGTGCCCCATGCCCCATGAGCATCTGGAGGAGGAGGGATGGTTGCCAGGAGAATTCCTGCCAGGAGAATTTCCTGCATGCCTCCCCAGCTCGAATGCATTGTCACCACAGGAACCAGCTACAGCCCCAATACAGCCCTTATCTCACACCGATGAAATCTGGAAATGCTGCAGCCCAGAGGGCATTTAAATTGTAACAGAGCCACTCACATCTTAAGATTCTAAGGAAACAAAAGAGCCTCCCTTTGCTCCCTTTCCTTCTCTCCATCTCTTGTTTTAGGCTCAGAATCACATCATGCAGTAAGCAGAGGCAAGCACAGGCTGTTCGCTTCCCTCAGGAATCACACCACCGTGTGCTGTGAGCTGAAGGAGGTGAAGCTGCCCTTGGGGCTGCGGTGACACTGGGAGAAGCTGGCAGCCCTGGTCCTTCTGCTTTTGGTCCCGCTCCTGTGTTTCCGCTTGTCACATACAATAAAGCTTTCGATCAGCTTCAGCTTCTCGTGCTCTTCCTTCAGGAAGAAGTCAACAAGCATGGTCTTCTCCTTTTTGATCTGTTCACTGATGTCCTTGGGGATATCAGGGATCATCCAATCAACCAGAACACTGAGGAACATCACCAGGTTCTGCAAGCACAGCAGCAGACATGAAGTAAGCATGAAAAATCCAAAATACTTGCACTGGAGCAAAACCAAACCTTTGTTATAGCTATGAGACAGATGTCAAACACATTTTGCTGGTGGTGTGTAGTAGTAAGCAGTTGATTAAGGCTTTATTTCAAGAAACAGCTCAGGTTTGTGCACAGCTACTCCTCAATGTAGAGGACTCAATGTAGAGCACTCAAAGAGGCTGAATTAAGCATGTGCTTCAGTTAGGTTTGAAATAGGAAAGGACATGGAATCATCAAATAATCCACGGCCTTAGTAGCTAAACCAGCATTATTCTTTACAAGCATGCAAAGGTGCCCAGTTCTCAACATCCAATTCCTTGATACTGAGTTCAGAATCCATTACTATAAGAACATCTCCAATACCATCCCAAATCCTGTAACACAAGGCAAAGATACCCATGTGTTTCCAGTGTGGCCTGAGCACACAGAGGAAAACTTTCATGGCCATTTGTCCTCAAATCCTTCTGTCTGCTGACAAGCAGGATTGTTTTTTACACTACCACACTGTGCAAGCCAAAATCCCAAATCTCAAGGTGAATACAGGTGCTGCTCATAACATCAAGCAGGAAGCAGACTGGGCAAAAAGTTTTGCTTGCTTGTGAAATCTATAGATAAGCAATGCTTTGGGGGTTTGTATTGTCATGATAATGCTTTGAGAAGTGTGTGTTGTGTAATGCCCTAATATGTGAGAGCAGTTGGCTGACAGGGTTGCTAGCATGAGCTCTCTGTCCCCATATGAGACAATGGAGCTAATTAACCAGGGAATGTTCTCTGGCAGAGCAGGCAGAGGGTTTGAAGCCCAGCAGAACCAATTGCTTTCAAGTGCTTTGCAGCCAGTGGAAAATTACTGAAGGCACAGCAAAGAAGCAGAAGAGGGCAATACAAACCAGGCAAGATTCACAGAAACACTTGGGAACACTCGGCAGGTAGGGACAAAAGAAAGGCAGATTTGTAAAAGAGGGATGGGCCCAATTTGGTTGTGGAAGGATCCCAGATCACGGAGGAGGGCAGAAGGAAGCCATTGGAAAGACAAGCCATGATAGCAAATCCCTTGCTAATGAAATCCTCACACTGGGGACAATTTACTTTTCTCCATTCAAGAAAGTAGCAAAAAACCTTGGACAATTTATTACTTTTATTTATTTATTGCTTTGGGCAAAGAACAGCAGTTAACAAGCTTACACAGCACTTATGTACTTTCTACAAGTGGTACCTCTGAGACTATAAAAGTTGACAAAGCCTGGGGTGTTTTGGGGACCACTGCTAACACCAAGGGCTAAAGGAAGATGTGGGTCTTGCTTTCCACGTCTATTGGACATGGGCTTCTTTGAAACACACATTTTGATCCATCTATGATGATATTTCTGTGTCTGAAAGTGAAGTAACTCATCAGACTTACCTGAAATAGAATCACAAAAGCCAAGCGAGCAGACAAGACCGCCCAGTACTGCTTAGAAAACTCGTACTGGTGTGGGGACCAAGGTGGTTCTCTGTAGTCTTTGAATCTGGAGATGAAAACAGCTCAGTTATCACAGTTCCAGCAATTTCCTCCAGCACCAATTGCTGTGATTAATGTGATTTTCCAATCACAAAACCCAAAGAATCAAATCCTCCAGATGTTCTTACTTCAACCCTTACTATGAAATACAACTTCAGAATAAGAGCTGGACTACCTCCACTGAATTTAACACACTCAGTGTGGTTTTCACAGTTGTAACCAAAATCAGAACATTCTTTTAATGTTTGAAATGTCCAGATTTTAGAGGATTGACAGGAATCCCCTTTATTTTATAATGTAAATTGACATCAATGTACATGGAATAAAATGCTGAAATGAAAGCAGAGAGATAGTCCAAGGCATTTTCAGGCTGAAGGAGATAAACCTGCATTCATTTCACCCAAAACTTGATTAATTTAGGGAATAACTCAGCCCACATAAAATGTGACTCATGCTTTGGTGATTCCCGTCTCTGCATTAACAGAAGGGGGAGCCATGTGGAAGGCACTTCCTAAGTTAACTAGCCTTGGACAGGATAAAACAGAGCCTTAGTTGTTTGGTGTAAAGACTGTTGCTTTTAGTATTATAATCAATCATTTGGAAGTAAACAATAGGCTAATAAAAATCACAGATGCTCCTAAATTGGAAAGTCTTGCAAATAGCAGGAAACACAGAAAGCAATAAGAATTGGAGACAGGAAACACAATGAGAATAATATGGGGAAATGGAAAATAATTAAAAATAAAACACTTGAAGGATCTTTGAAGGGATAGTGTTTGAAAGTGGAAATAGCCTGGAGCTTGCAGAGGCTAGCAAGTTAGCACAAGTTTGAAATATGGCAGCAGGACAATGTATGACTTGTGGATATATCAACAAAAGTCACAATTGTGCTGGGGCAGGGAATTAGCCTTCCTCTGAACAGCCCAGGTAAATCCACACCTGGATTTCTGCATTCAGCCATTCAGCTGTGCACATTCCAGAGGGGTGGAAGGGAAAACAAAAAGAAAAAAAAAAGGGAAACCAAAGAAAAAGACAGCAACAAATTGAAGGTAGTTCAGGAGAACAGTACAAGGGCTGAGGAGATTGACTCATTGGGAAGATTAAAGAGCAGCACATGTATTGCTCCACTTTGGTAAGTAACAGCCACAGTTGGACATGATAACCATGCGCAAATTGTGCCCTTAGGATGGAAAGGGATAATTTAGTGCTGTTCCCAGTGTTTGACTAGGAGTAATGGGATGAAATTAAGAAAGGGAAAATCTGTTTTGAGTACCACAAAACCCATCCTGACAGTAAGATTCATTAGACTGTGCAAAAGCCTCCATTGGGGGATAATGGAGAAGGTTCATATATAAAATCTGTCAGCTTCAGTTTGCAGGTGCCAAAATTACCTTCAGGTTCTACCCACATGGTTTTGCATGTTAAATTACACATTTGCAGTCCACGCATCCCCTACATCCTGCTGCTCCCCACCCCCAAGAAACTGAGACTGAATGCTGGATGTCATTCTGTGCTGCAGCTTCTGGAGACAAAGGGCACGAGGTACAGCCCACAGGGAAGAGAATACCACTTTCAATTGGGGGCTGTGTTAATTTAGGGAAGAACTCCCTGGGCTGTGTGAGCCCCTGGATGGTTTTTCTCAGCAGTGCAAGCACAGGTTCTGTCTTAGGATTCCTGTGCTGTTCCTGCACTGCCAGATCCCCCCACTGGTACTTTTCTAGACATTGTGGACTCCCACATGTTGCTCAAACCTGTACGAGTGCTGCACCAAGGGCCAAAGTCAGTTCCCTTGAACTTAATCTGCTTGAACATCAAAGCCAAAGAAAGCCACTGAGTTTCTTGTGGACTTTGCCGACCATTATAAATCAATCCCAGTCTTGAAATGGAGCCCAGGTTCACCTGGAAGGGTCACCAACTGTGGTGGGTTTTCCATTTAATGCATTTTGAGCTTCACAAACTATGTAAGTGTTGCAGGATATCAGACCCCTTGGAAATTTCACCTGGCTCAGCTGGGAATCACACTGTTAGTGATGCCTGAACCTGCACTAGCAAATGATTTATGGTGAAGGAAAATGTTGCCAGAGCTACAGATGAGGCAGCTGGGCCTCCTCCCCATCTCCTTTTTAAAATTATTCTCTGCCCCATGGGACTCCAAAGGGCCTTTTCTAACCCCTAGATTCTACAGGTAGCTCCTTTTTTCAAAGACCATCTTTTCAGCTCAAGAAGCATTTGGACAATATCCTCAGGTGTGATTTTTGGGGTCTTCTGCACAGGGTCAGGATTTGATAATCCTTGTGGGTCCCTTCCAACTCAGGATATTCTATGATTCTCTGATTCCCTCACCTCTTCAATGCTTCACTCTTAAAATATTTGATTCAGCAGGCATGGTAGGAAGAGCAACCAACTAGTGCTGCAAAAGGACAAGAATATGAAGTAGTCAACGTGGTTGAAGAATAGAGCACAGAAAAGTTATAAGGAAGAATAGAAAAATGTGCACTGAAAGTAGAGAATTGTAGGACAGGGGAAGCAGGGTGGAGAGAATTGAAGCCAGGGCTAAGACAAAGATGTTAATATATTTCAGAAGTTTATTGTGTATGGGGGAAAAAAAGACTGGTAAAAAAAAAATCTAACTCTATATAGGTGGAATTTCAAATCAGTCCAAATAAGCTAATCTGTTTAATTTCCTTCTTCAGCTGGCCTTGAGAAGAAATTGGACAAAACATCCACAATCACAGAATCAGCAGAGCAGGAGTATAAAAAAATTAGTCAGGGAAAAATGTTAGCATCCACCACTGATCATTAAGAATAGATGAGATGAATCCCATGATATTAAGAAAATAAATTCAAAGACACTTTATACAGTTGCTGAATGTTGGAGCAGACCCATGTTAAAGCAAAAGTCCCTTGAATGACTCCATATCTGCTGCTTCCTTTTTTCAATGTGACCAGTAGGTTTGTATGTACTCCATCATCATACAAGTCTACAAGGATTAAAATATCCCATATCTTAGCAAGATTTGCTTCTAATTTGCCTTCAGCTATACAAATGCCATTTTTCCCTGAAAGAAAAAAAGTAAAATTACAACTAATACTGTGCATCAGGACAGCTTTACAGCAACCTTTATTTGGAAGCAGTGCCAAAGAGTTCACAGCACTGCAGAAAATGCTGCTCTAAATATTTGGAGAATGTATTCTCTATGTTCAGTGGCAGAGTTGTTTCTGGCTTGTTACAGTTATTTTTAAGATACCTTAATCTCTGGCAATGCCCATAAGGAGAAAAATGCAACCTCATTACAACCACATTTATCTCCAGAGGTCACAGAAATCTAAGAATAAGAGAGGTCAGCTTGTTCCCAATGCATTTGCCAGAAACAGAAATACAGATTTTATTTCCAGCTTGAGGGGCAGTGTTTGGTTGCCTGTCTCTTGGGACGCAAGTTAGAGACCCCATACTTTATCACAGTGATAGTTCTGTCCAAAGCTGAGATTTTGATAAGATTCAAATGAGGCAGATGATAATGAGAAACAGTGTTTGTGGATGCTGACATATTTTCCCAATTGTCTCCTGATAAGAGAAATGTTCCCATAGTTTTGTCTCACTCAGACTAACACATTAATTTTTTTCCTCTTCTCAGTTTCTTAGATGGTGTCATCAGGCAGGGAGCACTTTTGAACACAGTGTAGATGATTCCCCTCTCCCTCTATTTGGGGTCTGTTGGGTATTTGGCTGCGTGTGACCATACTAATGTGAGGAGTGCCTTTCACCCTGTTGTTAATGCACATATTTCCAAACACACCAGCACTTCAACATATATAAACAGGGCCAGTGGCTGGAACAAGGTAAAAAGCAGCATAGTGAAAATAGCAAAATCACAGTGAAGTGGATCAAGATGCTTGTTGAAGAAAAATACATTCAAATTTAGGGATGAAAAATTAAAAAGTGCTAGAGTGGAAAAGCATTTCACAGACTTACAAATCTGAAAGTCCGGAGATGCTGCATACTTTAACAAGGAATACTTTGCTAACAAACAAATCCCAGCAGCAGAAATGAGGAATTGCAGAGCTCACTAGCTTATAAGTTACTTAAAAGTTAGGAGTGCATTCATCTATCCTCTGCTGTAGTCGAGGTGAGAAGGTAGGTTCCTCCCAAAGGCAATCCCAACAGCACTGCCTGAGTAACAGGGACATATTTCTCTCCCTGTTTACCTTGCTTCCAGTGAAGAAACTGGGATGTGTCATTTTGCGGGTTATAGTTGAGCAAGCTATATACCCCACTTAAAATCAGTGTGAAATATATTGCATATCAAAGAAAGAATGGAAAACCACTCTACATTAAGACTATCCTTAAATAAATGGAAGAGGAACTTTTATAATTATTTTGTGCCATTGCAGAGACCAAGCACAGGGTGATTTCAAGGGAGTCAAGAAGGAAGGGGAGAACAGGCTGTTGAGTATAACACTGACCCCAAGCAGATCAGTTTTGAACAGCTGGGGGTTATAATGCCTTAAACCAGCTCTTTCAATTTCTGTGTATTATTATAAAAATACCAAGTTACTTTGAAAGCTGGACCACATTAGTGATTTCTCATACAAACTGGAACTACTCTATAGGTATCTTGTATTTGGGACATATTTTAAATGAAGTTGAACCTTGTTTTCCCAGTCAGAAAAGATGTATCTGAAATAGTAGACAGGTACATGGTGACTGGTGCAGGTTCTAGAGATAGACATAATATACTGAAAACTCATATCTCAGCAAGTAAGGACTGAATTTAATAAAGACAGAGAAAGCCTGGTTCTAATTACTGGGTGACCATTTAAAAAAAATAATTAATTTTAAATAAAGCTGTATCTTTCAGTAAAGAAAGTGTTAGTTGGCTTTTTTTTTTTTCCTGTGGATCAAGTCTGTCTAAATTGTTTATTTTGCCTTTCAATGACCTGAAAAAAAACCCCTTTTAAAGACCTTGCAACACAGCGAGAATTCTCTAAAGGAAGCACTTCCACATTTTCAAAGGCACATGAATATTGCTGACTATGTGGACATATAAGTGAATTTTATCAATTCCCACTTGGAAAAATGACATAAGAGCCAAGGAAATTCCCTCAACTGTGCAAACTGCCTTTACAAGTACTTTACCTGCAGAATGAAACTTCCTGTGCAAACAGGGAGTTTTCTGGCTGTGTCCCAGCCTTGAGCTGGCTGACATTGAAGTATGAGAGGGTGTGATTGATGAAGCCATGCATGGTTCCATTCTGACTGTATGCATATTGATACATAAGGCGTGGGATGAAATCGGAGGTAACAGCAATGACAAAAGCCTGAGAGATGCAAAAACAAACAAAAAAAAACAACAACCAAACAAACAACAGCATCATGAATCTGTGTCTCCAGGTTAAGTAATTCAGGGGAAAATGTTCATGTCCAGGTAAATTTAGAGTGGTGGTGAAGGGAGAGTTATATGGCCAGAATTGGTACAGAATATTTGCACAATAACCTGCTCTGTCTCTCCAAGGGAAGGCTCAGCTAGGGAAATAGCAAAAGCAATTAATGGACTGCACGTTGCTCCAATTCTTTCCATCTTTGGAGCCATCAGGAGGTTTATCACTGGTTTAAAAAAAAAACCTTACAACAAGACCTAATAGCCAGTTGGTATAATTTGGGCTATATTTTGGTGTAGTTACACCAAACCTGTTTAGTGTAAACATCCATTTTTCTTTCAGCATGAGGATTTACACATCACACACGGGGGATCTCATGCTGGTATTAAACCTCGTGAGACTGGTATCCCCTAAAACTGGTGTAATTGTGGGGACAATCAGCCACAGAAATCTCTACATCATATCAATAAGAATCCCTCTGATTTCTGCTCTGGACTCTCTCCTGTTGGAGCAGGTCCAGAGGAGGCCATGAAGACTGAAGACTTCAGTCAGAGGACTGAAGCCCCTGTGCTATGGAGACAGGCCAAGAGAATTTGGATTGTTCAACCTGGAAAATAATAGGATTTGGGAGTAGACTTAAGTGCCCCTTCCAATGCCTGAAGAAACTCCAAGAAACCTGGAGAGGGACTTTTGACAGGGGTCTGGAATGACAGGACAAGGGGTAATGGCTTCACACTGACAGAGAGGAGGTTTAGATGAGATATAGGGAAGAAATTGTTCCCTGTGAGGGTGCTGAGGCCCTGGCAAAGATTTCCCAGAGAAGCTGTGGCTGCCCTGTCCTGGAAGTGTCCAAGGCCATGCTGGATGGGGCTGTGAGCAATCTGGGCTAGTGGAAGGTGTCCCTGTCCTTGGCAGGGACCTTGGAACGAGTTGATCTTTAATGTCCCATCCAACCCCAACCATTATACAATCCTATGATGATTTAAAACTATATTTTGCTACATAATAATTTCCCGTGTCAATAATATCCAGATGGAGAAGCAGAATTGGGCATTCAGTATTTTTTTTTTCAAATGGGTATGCACATATTTACATTTCCTTCAAGAAAATGTACCTAATCATACTTTACTGGAATCCTCAGAAAATAAACTTTTCCAGAGTTTGATCAACACAGGAAATTATCAAGAATCATAAATCTGCAAAGTGTATTCAGAGAAAAACAAGAGGCTGTAGAGTTTTTCTCCTCCAGCGCAGCTCAGTGCTGGACAACAGAAGTCTGTGCCTGACAATGAGATTATGGGGATGTGCAGGGTTCCACAGATTTCCTACCTTAATTCCTGGAAACTGGAGAGCCATGAGTAAACAATGTGATCTCCACCCAAATGAAACAACACTACCCCTCTGGAGGCCTTAGGGTGCTGTGATGTGCCGGGAGCTATTTTATTAAAGAAATTACATAACACCTCTCCACAAGTTCTCCCTTCAGTAGTGAAAATCACCTCCCTTTCTAAAGGGGTTTGATATCTTTAATATCTCTGACATTATTCCATGACCTTAAAGGTATTTTCCAACGTAAATGATTCTATGAGATTATTATCTGTAGGCTAAAAACCCACTAGAAACTATTGGGATTAAAGTCCTAAGGCATGAGATTTTTTTAATCTTAAAGCATACAGAGGAAAAATCTACTTAGGGAATACATATAGCACAATAAACATAATATATCTGTGTTCCGTTGTATTGGAGCAATTGAGAAAATTAGATGCTACTTTTAAATTATGTTGAAGGGACAATAAAATATGAACAATTATAAACAATAAATTATAAAGAGTTTTAAATTACATTGAAGGAACAGTAGAAGCTCCCAAGATCAAGGTTAGAAACTGGTGTAACCAAACACTTACATTAATAATCACTGAAAGTTTTCCAATACCACTCAAGATGTTATACCAAATACCTGTAAGTGAAAGAAAAAAACTTATTAATAGGGTCATTATAAATTTTCCTCTTTGTTTAATTGTATTTTTGGTCTTATCTTCACTGCAATGCTCTTTCATTACTCACCTATATCCTTTTCTCTCACTGTGTCTGGCCTCCTCAGCTCAGTAACAAATTTTTTTGCATCAAGACGAACTTCGATGATGTTGTTCAGAAGAGCAAAGACAGGGGCCAGAGGGAAGGAGGCAACAAAGAGTGTGACAAAGCCAAACTGGATAACTGAGGGGGGAAAAAAAAACAATGTTTTTTGATAGCTTCTGAAGGGAGCAGCAAATTGTTGATGAGCTTTATGCATTGCCAACCCCAAAAAATTCCACTTCCCTGTTTGGTCCCAGGAATAAATATCCCAGAGTAGGGCTATGAAGAGACAAAATTTTGTCACTATGGTTTATGAATGTTTCCAATAAAGATGCTAGCACAAGCACAAACCAAAGGAAACAATAAATTTAATAAAGGACAAAGGGTTCCGAGTATATTTTTCTGCATTTATACATAATTAACGGATTAGTCCATGCTATTTCTTTCCTGTCCTTTTCCCTGTAAGGAAAATGACACAAAATCAAGCAAAAGGAGAAAATCTACAAGGTGCCAGCTTCCCAGCTTCCTTTGAAAAACTTGGTGCAGCCTGTGAAAAGCAAGAACAGAAGTGTCTCTGTGGAAGCAGGAGCCAGTGGTGTTGTGCAGCACTTTCATCCCTCCTTTTGCAACTGATGTCCTCCAAGTTCAGAAATACTCTCTTTAAATGGAAACAAAGGGGAAATTTACATATATATACATTTTTATATAAATATATATTAAACTAATAAATCTGACTGTGATCTACATCTCAGAGTTTAAAAAATATTAGCATAGAAAAAGTATTCATATGTTTCAATACCCTATTTACTGTGGCTTCTTTTTTGGCAAATCCCTGTATAAGTTCTCTCTCCACTGAGGGAAGAATTGCACTTTTCTGAGAAAATAGCACAATATTCTGTGCACAAATCACAGTATTATACGTTAAAATATTTTCCTTCAGCATTGTTGTCACAACCTACAACTAACTCTTGAAACAGTTTCTCCCAGGACCTTCTCTTGCATACACCTTTTTTTTTTTTTTTTTGGTGTACAAGTCTACAGATATTTCTCCTTTCTAATCTCAGGAACAATATATTTGCACACAAAATTAAAATATCAGTATATCAATTATATGGCTTTTAGAGTTTCATTCTTATTGTTTTGTTCTGAGATCTCCACTAAGATGGAGCTTTTTCAAAGCATACAAACATCCTACCCTTGAAATCATACCTTCCTGACTATTTTATGTTCAGAGTCAGGAAAAGAAATTAACAAGGAAATAAAACCAGATGTTAAAGTAATGTCCCCAAAAACTGTGAAATGCTTAGAAAAATACATAGCCCCAAAATATACCTTATTTGGTTCTAAGTGAATTTAGCAGTAATAAAAAAAAAAAAAAACAAAACCAAAAAACAAAAACCAAAAAAACCCCTGTATTTGCAATGCTTTAAGAATAAACCACACATGCATTTGCTTTGATGTTTTTTGTAGCCCCTTCATTCATTGTCTGGGAAAATGCAGTTTAAATTTTTTTCAAGTTCATGAAAAAATGTTCAAGGTATGCAAAGGACTTTTGGATAATTGTGTAAATATGTCTTCATAGAAAACTCTAAGCCAGAAGTGTTTGTGTGGCCATCTTGAAATCCCTTCAACCTTCTCAACTCTGTCTTATGCAAGTGTAAATGATGAAAAAAGCAGGCAAGAAAAGCAATTCCAAAGCCAAACCCAGAATTTAGATGGCCTTGTGCAACAAACTAGCAAACAATCATTAAATGGAGGAGTCTTTGAACAGCCTAAGAAATTCACAGGTATTTGTTGAGTGGGATCAGTGTTTTTAGAAACAAACCTGAATAGATTACAAAGGGAAGAATCTCTGCCCAGATCTCAGAAGGAATCTCATCTCAGCATCCTGGAGTTCTGTGGATGCCTGTCTGGCTGGTCACACTGGAAATACTTACAATACTTTTAGGACACGCACTCTTCCATCGGGGACAGTTGACACCAAGATATCCTTTTTTTTTTTTTTTTTTTTTTCCTGAAAAACTTGATAGTAACCCTTAAATACCCTTTTCATGTTCACATTTATGCCACAGGGTCTCCATACAAAGCTCTTTACGTGTCCATGTACAGGGAAAAGGCTAAAGAGACCTGTGCCAGGAACTGGACTTCTGGCCATCCATCCTGTTTCATCATTTTCCTACCCCCTGGTAGGCCAGCCTGGAAACATGAGAGATGAACACTGGCTCATGCCACAAGCTTGGAAATGAAACAATTGAAGGCTGGGTATAGTGGAAAGTAAGGGACATGGGAAACATCATCTCCTGGGGCATCCAAGCAGAACCCTGGATGTGCTGTCACTGACACAGGGCCTTCATCCTTCTGATCGGGAAAAAGCGCAAAGCACATACTGGTGGTGCCTTTACTGTCTGAGTAGAGCAGGAAAGAGGCCAAGGGCTCATAGCCAGCCCTCGAGTTTCACAATACACAATGCCACATCTGCAGCACCTCATCCAGCCCCCGGCCCGAGACAAAAACTCTGAAGGACAAACAGCATCCAAAGAAGTGTCTCAGGTCACAGCTCTTCTCAGAAGTCCACTCCTCACAGAAGTTGTGCAGGGGCTGAGCAGAACCTCAGCCCAACTGAAACACACCCTGTCCCTCCAAGTCTGGCATCTAAGTTATGACTAAGAGCACAAATCAAAGCTTTTAAATTATGGATCTGAAGGGTGGTGGCTGCTGTTCTTGTGTAAGGGATACAGAATCAGTCCCCAGCACAAAACCTTCCATGGTTCACTTGTTCTACAAGATTTGCACGCTCAGCAGTGTGAGTAACCCAAGTATCTTTTACCTCAAAGCCTCACCTAAAACAAGGTATTTATTTACAATTATGTTGCCTTTTTTTTCTCTCTCTTCTTTATCAAAAATATCTGACATAGGATCACATGTTACTGGAAGTAAACAGTGGAAAAATTATTTCTGTGCTAAGCAGCTTTCCAAATCCCAGGAAGAAAATTTTCAATATACAGACAGGCCTGGCTGAAAAACTGAGGAAAAGGTGTAGTTTATAACTCTTCTGCAATAAGTGTATGCAACAAGCCTACACACAACCACCAATGGTATTTTCAAAACCATCCTCATTATAGAGATTATAGAAAAATGCAGGTGTCTCTTTAGCAATTTTTTTTCATTTTTCTGCCTCACACATTGCCTTTTTGATGGCTTTTCCTGCTTTAGGGGAAATCCTTCCAAATCTCTCAGATTAATCCTTATAATAGTCAGTAGCTGCAGACTTTGGATCTAATCTTTTTCTCCTTGTGCCATTGTTTTTAAACAGAAGATGGATGATGAAACCTTTTATTATTACTTTTCCTTGAGGAAAAATGTTTTTAATCAATTGCCACATGAAGTTTGGACTCCTAGAGGGGTTAGGCTAGAGAAGGGAAGACCAAATAAAATAGGAATCTGAAAATCATTGCTGATTTCAGTTTCTTCTCAAGGAAACACAAAGTGGTATAAATTTCAGACATTCATGTGCATAATTTTGCTCTTGGAGCCAATTTAATAAAATTTCTTTCATTAGAAATATTTATTGCTACTTTAAATATTGATTTCTTGGCACGTCTATCACTGCACACGTTGCAAACTTGCTGCCATGTGGAAGAGGAAATTGCTTTACATACTACCAACTTTGGGAATGCACACTGTATGGTATATTGGCCTGGGTCAAAAGTCTTTGCACAGTTTTGGAAGCAGGAAATGGTAAGGACAAATTTGACACATGTTGACAGTGACAATTTATGTTGCAGGATTACTTGAGCAAATTTTTCTGATCACTCAAGCGTTTTAAGAGTGTCTCCACTAAGAAATGCAGGAATATGTCAGTTAATAATATCAAAACAAACAGTCATCAGAAGTGTCACTGGTGCAAGTCAATATTTTTGCAGATATGCTATTGACAGCCAAGCCTGCACAACAAAAAAGCTCAGCAGAGTCTGATGGTGAAATCAGATTCAAAGACTTTCACCCTAAAAAATTAATCTTTTTACCCATAGAATCACTTGGGCTGGAAGGGACACTTAAATGTCATCTAGCCCAAACCCATGCAATGAGCAGGGACTTTCATCTAGATCCTGTTGCTCAGAGCTTCATCCAACTTGACCTGGAATGTTTCCAGGGATGGGGCATGCACCACCTCTCTGGGAAACCTATGCCAGTGTTTCACCATCCTCATTGTAAAAAAATTTCTTCTTACAGGTAGTCTAATTTGTTGGCATGGACTTGAATGACTAATATTTTGCAGAAACAAAGTTTCTGAAAAAAACCAACTTGTTTTCAGTAAACAAAGACAGAGTCACCTTTCCCAAATGGGAAAATAGAGGAGGTTAAAAAATAACTAGTAAATCTTGCTATTTCTATGAACATTTCATGATTTAAATGAGGGCAGGGGTAGGAGCGTGAGAAGGTGGAAGTCTCTCTAAGGCTGCGGGATTGTTAGAATAAGAAACAAGAACAAAAATGAAAGCAAATTGGAAATGGACATCCCAAAATTTCAGTGGGGTAGGAATCATCAAAAAATCCTTTACCTGTGGATCATCATGCTACAAAACACAATCTGAGACTGCTCCAAGCACTGTCCCTCCCAGAAGTGCTGCCTTAATGGGATTAATTTGCTTCATAACAAAGTGCAAAGAGAATGTGTGGTTTGCCATGTGGGCAGTGGGCCAAACTCCAGGTTTTTACAGAAATCAGTAAAAGAGATTGGATATATGGATAAAAAAGGCAAGGACTGCCTGTGACTAGGGTACAACCTAATGAATGATAGACTTGGAGGCAAGAGTCCTAGCTAAGACCCTTAGTGGATCCTTAAGTGGATCCTTAAAAGTGGGAGCAGGACAAACCCGAATGTAGTGACTACTCACACTTGGATACATAATCTGCTTGCTTCTGCATGAAACCCCATCACCATCTGTATGGGGAAACCCCAAAGGCTGCAACAAGCCCCATCTGCAATTCCTCCTTTAGCTGCTTCATTCCAGATTGCCACTGATGCCTGAGGGAGGTTGCCTGAGTAAATCAGTTTGAAAACTAAGAAAGAAGTTGTGAAACAGCAGCCAGATTTCTCTCTTTTCCTTAATATCATACCTTTTCTTGCATTCCAGTAGCCCTGCCTTTTTAAGCAATTCAGGAGGAAAAACAAGTCTTCCTCTGGCCCTCTGCATTGCTTGCCTTCCCACTGTCCCCAGCTCAAAATTAGAGAAACAAATAAACTGCTCAGCTGCCTCTTGCAGCGTGATGCCCTTGACAACAATCCCAGCTGACAGGTTCAGTGCTGAGCTGCACCAAGTGCTTCCTGCCAGTGTGGGTGGTCTGAGCAGTGGATCTGACAGCTGAGAGAAAGGACATGGACCCAGGGCAGCAACCGGGGCTGAGGAGGTGCAGCTTGGCTTTCATCTGCTGCACATTTGTCTGCAAATCCCACAGGCAGGGCACAGCTTGGCAGACTGTGAGGCTTCTCCACTTGGGAAGCTCATCCTCCTGTTGTAAACAAATGTTTAGATCAATAATTCACCTCTTCATTTTCCTGAGTCACCCCTGAGTGGCTGCAGACTGAGGAGCTCACCACGGTTTATGAACCTGGCACAAGGGACTGATCTAAATGACAGGCTTTGTGTCCAGTGATTTATAACATCAGTAGCTTAAACCTTGATACTACAAACCAGAGGCATGGAATAGAATCATAGAATATCCTAAGTTGGAAGGGAACCATTGAAAGGAACCATCAAATATCCCAAGTTGGAAGGGAACCGTCAAAGTCCAGCTCCTGGCCCTGCACAGGACAGCCCAAAAATCTCACCGTATTCCTGACAACATTGTCCAGGCCAACATTGTCCAGGCTCTGGCAAGCTTGGGGCTGGGACCACTTCCCTTGAACAGGAACCCCCAAACCTCAACAGACTGTGGTGGTACTTTTGCATTTCTTTCTTTAAAAAAAAAAAAAAAACAAAACAAAAAACCACACACACATTAACCTACTTATTTCAGTGGCCGTGATTTGTCTCATCTTGGCAATTTCTAGAACTTTCTCCTAAAATTAAAATAACCCAAACCGTTCCCTAAGGAACAGCATAACAAATGGCTAAACATGGGAGCTCCAAGAGGTACTCTGAAGTCAAAACACAGGTAAGGAAAACTCCACTTTCTTCACTGAAGGACAGACTACTGACTTGCTTCCTTTCTGAGTAGGTGGCCTTAAATGAACACTTAAAACAAATCTGACATTTTGGAAATTATGTTCAAACTCTTAGCATTGGAGCATCACTTTTCACACAGTAGAATCAAGGCCATTGACAGCAAACCCCAAGCAATGCTGACAAACATCACACCAGTCTATATTTGTTACTGGTAACTAAAGTCCTTAGACCCAGCTAACTAAGAAATTTGGGTTGTTAAAAACTGATATTTCTGAGTTGTTCTTGAGCCTAAAAATACAAAAAAAAATTTTTACAGGAAAAAATGTCTATTTTTTTTCACCATTGTTAAACTTCAAAAATTGCTAAGAGGCTTGCTTAAAGTTCACAGGAAGAAAAATCATTTCAGGCTGACATAACTCATGGAAAAAAAAATTGTCCTAAAGGATAATTTTTCAACAAAGTATCATTAAGTGCAGAAAGGGATAAGGTAACAGAAGTGACAACACAGACAAGATCCTAAGCTGAGTTGGAACAATTGAGAGGGAGATAATGGGAGGTGAGGGATTCTTGATAGCACTACAGAAGGCAAGGATGGAATCCTAAACATATTAGTAAGACATCCCCAAATCTGTCATCATGCAAAATACCTCGTATACACTTAGACATTTACAGATTTACATAAATCCACCATTCCATAAATTTTAATGTATTAGTTGTTAATTCAATTATAAATTACATCTACAAACCAAGGTTGTTTCTGTATAGAGAGATAAACCATCTATGGTATTTAAATTTTTTGCCATAAAATATGTTCCCCTTTAGATGTTTTGAAAATAGTGACTTGTGTTAAAACAGGAATTGCCACATTCAGTATTTAACAGATGTCTGGTTTTAGACACCATGCCCATTGTGCTTCTCCCTGAATTCTTGTGTGACCTAAAGCTTGGGTTTGCCTGGATTATTTCTCTCCTTTCTACTCCCCTACCCACAGCATTCCTGCTTTCTCCTTCCCTGCCTCTGCAGGGTCTACTCATGGGGCAGGTACAGGGCTGTGCTCCCCAGTAGAAGAAAAACATGGACACACTGCAGTGAATCCACTGGAGAGCCATTAAGACGGTTAAGGGATGAGAGGACCTGATGAACAAGGAGAAGCTGAGAGCACTGGGATTGCTGTACCACAGGAAAAAAGGTTCAGGGGATATTACCCATGTGGCAGGCTGGAGAACACAGAGCTAAAACCTTCTCAAGGGCACACAGTGAAAGGACAAGAGGCGCAGGGCACCAATGGAAATGTAAGGAGTGCAACTTAAACCTTAAAAAATCCTTGGTGTGAGGGTGATCAAATACAGGAAAAGTTGTTGAGTCTTCAACCCTGGAAATATTCAAAACCTAACTGGAAAGTCTCTGAGCAACATCCTGTAACTGACCTTGCTTTGAGCAGGAGATTGGACCAGCTGATCTCCAGAGATCTGTCCTAACCATAGCTGCTGATTCTGTGGCCAAATGGTTTCTGTGCACTTTCCTCAGCTGGGAACACTGGAATCTGGCAGCAGAAGTATTAACAGATACTGGAATTCATCGTTATTTCTCTGTTGGCACTATGGTAGTCTCATAGCCCTGCTGGCTCACATGGAATTTCTGCAAACTATGAGTGCTGGGGTATTTTTCCTCCTCTCTCATGACCACTTCTGACATTCAGTCCTATGTAAAGCCATGGTTATTGCAGAAAGGGAAAGGAAATTCTGAAAACTTACTCATTTCCATGTATTCTGGAGTCAGCCCAGTGAAAGGTTCCAAGATGTAGTCAAGATCCCATTGCTGAGGGTCCTTGTATTGGTTGGTGTCCATTTCCTTTACCTCAGTTCTTCCACCCTTCAGCTTCCTAAAGAGCTTCTTGAGCTTCCTGAGGACCAAAAGTTCAGATCAAACCAAGTCAGTTTTTTTTTTTCCCCCTAAAAGATTTGCCCCAAGTCTTTGCACAGCAAAACAAAATTTATCCTGTTTTACTTTGGTGCATCACAGGGGGAGTTTACACCCCTGGGAAAGTTCAGATGTTGTTTATTGACAGGTACAAGCTACTGGAGTTGAATCCAGTACTTTATAATATTTTTTCTCTCTAGATGCGTATTCCAAGGGGATCTTCCTAAAGATCCTGGAACCTAAATAATATTAGTAATTAGTACTCTCAAGAACAACATAGTGAGTACCTCTCTTTTAACAAAAAACAAAATGTAATGGTTTCATTCCACATTTTCACTACAGGCACACATTCATCTCAATATAAAAATTGGGAATTTCCAGTATAATAGAATTTTAACGTAAAAAATTACCAGATGTTCATGGGTTGCCCAGAAAAGCTGCAGCTGCCCCATCCCTGGAAGTGTTCAGTGCCAGGTTGGATGGGGCTGGGAGCAACCTGGGATAGGGGAAGGTGTCCCTGCCCATGGTGGGGAGTTGGAACTGGATGAGCTTCAAGATCCCTTCCAACCCAGGCCATTCTGTGATTATGGGATATTTCCAACCAAAGAGAGTGCAAGAATGTACTGACAGTCGAAAAAGCAATATCAAACACTGTCCCACTGAAATGGGGATACAAATTTAATGACAATGATAAATAAATTAGAGTAAAATTAATGATTTCTAAATTAAGAGTAAAGTTTTCCCAATGTCCCCCCACCCCCAATGATGTTTTAAATACACATGCATCAGCAACTTCATGCTGTTTTACACACTGAGAAATTCCCATGGAAAACCACAGTAGCATGAGGTATTTCTTCATAATCAAGACAGCAAAATATAGTCGAATTAGCATAAAATAGCCAGATTCATACTTATTGCATATCTTTCTTTTGCAGATGATATTTATCTTCCACAGAAACCTACAGCACTATTTTACAGTTCTTCACATATGTGCCATGAGTGGAAATCCAGACTAATTCCAATGATGTTTTGCCAGTTGTGTAAGCAGGGCTCTCCCACAGCTTGTGATAAACCCTTTGAACTGTAGGTGTGTGGCCTGGATACAGGAATATTTGGGAGAAGGGGTTTTCCTTCAGACCTCCAAGGAAGCAGAACCACTTTCCTGGACCCTGGCTTCAGTAGCAGGGCAAGGCTGAGGAACAAAAGCTGGCAAACACAATAAAGGCTTTGCTGTGTGGGTTTATTGCTTCATTCCCAAATTTACACTGAGCCACGGGATCACTGTGTTCCCACGGTGACTGAGGCACTTCTGCACCTACCATTGTCTACAGGACCCATTCCATTTCATCACCGGTATGGAGGAATTTGGGATTGGAAGACACTCTTTAAACAGGTCTAGATTGCATGAAGCCCTCTCAGATCCTGGATCATAAAGTTTCAAAAATCAACAGGACAACTCCTGCTTTTCTATGAGGTGGAAGGAAGATGTAGCTCCGCAGTCTGATGGTAACACCATCAGTGCTTTGGCATTACTGGTAACCAGGACACTCAGATTGCACAGTTTCAATGAAAGGGTGGGGGTAAATTTAAACTGCTTCACGAGACAGAATTAGATGAATCCTTAAAAAGATCTTTTACCTCCAACATCATGCAAACTCAGCCATTTCAAGACACTAGATTCCCCTTCTCCCCTCTGTCTTTATGGAACCCAAGGGAACTTGTCTGTGACAGAGATGATGTAGCATTCAGAGGGTAGGAGGCTGGGGCAGGATTTAAAACAATCAAAGAATTCCCAGGTGCTCTTCCAACATATCCCAATTAATTTCCTAATGTGAGGCACTCTCAGAGGATGGTGAACAACAGGTTCAAGACAATGCTGATTTCTGTTCCAATGAAATGATACAAGTTATAAATGTCTCTCACACTTCTGTGGGCAGATGAGAGTGAAGATGATCTTGTTGTCACGGCACAGCAGCAGCTGAGATAAAATTTGGGTGTGTTTAGATGTGAAATCTGTGCACATGTGACCTAATCCTTCAGCTACAGCACCACAGAATCGAGTTCTGGAGTTTAATGCATACACACACCTCCCACGAGAATCCAGCAACAAAACAATTGCTGTTGTTTTTAATGATTATTTGGGAATACACCAAAACCAGGGGTCAGTTGCTCAGAATAATTTTTGATTTTTCATCTGGTTATTTCTAAGCCAGGCATGATGAACAGCACCTTTAACCATTTGGAGTTCAGCTTTGAAGAGTGTCTGTATGCTTCTTTTTATGTATTTTTTTTTAAAGATCAACTGACTGAAAGCAAGCCAAACCAATTATTTCAAATTTTCCACAAAAACCAAAAAGTACCTTTGTTTCGTATCCAAGCATGTGAAGTTTGAGACCAAGCAGAAATGTGTCAGAAAGTTAAAGGAACAGAGAAGAGGGATTTGCAGGGTGTTATTCTCCAGCTACACAGCAATAGGGCAATGAAAATGAGTTTTGCAGAACCCTTTATCTGTACTTATGATTGTGATGCTAAAACTGAGTATGCTTTTTAAATGCCTCTGATTGAAGCCTGCTCCTTAATTACCCAGACCAATGTTTTTTTTAAGAAAATTGACAGAAAAATAGTTCTTTTAGCTTCTGATTTGGTCCTGCCAGGCAGCCCCCCACAGTGAGGAAGAGGTAAGTTTGCCCATTCAGGACAAGTGTCCCAGAAACTTTGTGCTGAAGAGGCTCATGTAGCAAAGTTTCATGATTCCACACAGATCTGGGCAAAGAGGGAAAACTGTAGAGTTGTAGAATAGCCATTATTTCTGGTCGTTTTGCCAGGGTCATTTTGCCAGTGAAAAAGCAAGGTGCATCCTTAAGGAAACTGAACAGCATGTGAGAAGAATTAATGCAGGATCAGAAGGAAAGAAAATTACCAGTTTTTTTGTCAGGCTGTGTCTAGAGCAGCTAAAAATGACATTGCAGCTTCTCACCAAATTATTGTATTAGGTAAGAGATGGGAACATGGTTGAATTATGCTGATTGTAATTCCCAGTATAACCAATAAGCACTGTATTATGCATGATAACAAGCATCTGAAGTGAGCATAAAATCACTACCTGTCAATAACACTCAAGATTTTGAGGAAAAAAATATGATGAAAAGAGAAAAATTAAGCTCCAAGTGATCCTGGCTGGGCTGTAAGCACATGTTGATTAGATGAAGGCTCCTTTTCAAAAATCAGAGAGATTATTGAATAGTTTCTCTATTGATACAGTAAGAAGGAGCAGCTGGATTTGGGGGATCTAGGGGAAAGAATGATGATGACTTGGGAAAAATGAGAAATTTGTGGGGTAAGTGAGAGTGGAATAGACAGAGGCTGAAGAGGTGGGACATCTGGAGGGCAGGTTGAAAGAGAACAGATGCAGGAAAATTACTTTTTTGGCAGAAGTGTTTGTGTCTTCAGTGGCTGTATAATTGGGATTGTTCAGCCTAGAATAAAGAAGGCTCCAAGGGGACTTAACTGAGCTATCCAATGCCTGAAGGGAACCTATGGGAAAGATGGAGAGAGATTATTGACAAGGGGATAAAGTGCAGGAAAAGGGGAAATAGCTTCACACTCGCAGAGAGCAGGTTTAGATGGGATATTGGGAAGAAATTGTTCCCTGTGAGGGTGCTGAGGCCCTGGCAAAGATTGCCCAGAAAAGCTGTGGCTGCCCCGTCCTGGAAGTGTCCAAGGCCAGGCTGGATGGGGTTGTGAGCAACCTGGGCTAGTGGAAGTTGTCCCTGCCCATGGCAGGAGCTTGGAACTGGGAGGCCTTTAAGGTTCCTTCCAGACCAAACCATTCTGTGATTCCATGATTCTGTGAATACTTGCTAGAACAGAGATGCATGTGGAGGTTTTACATGAAAAGACAGAAAGCCTCTAGAATCCAGCTGCCAGGAACAAAGGATTATTTATAACAGGTGGGTTTTTAAAGGCTGTCCTTCCAGTTGATGCATTTTGATCTGTAGGATAATGGAAAAAGGTTCAGAGAGAAAGTTAAACAGAAAAGATTCTTAGGTTGAGTAGCTGGAGCACTTGTATCTGGACAAAAGGAAGAGCAGTGACCCAGGCTCTTGTACCTTGCCTGTAATTTTCTTTCCTGCTTTTGGGACGGAACACTGAAGATCCAGGCCTTTCTTCAGTCATATTCCTACAGTGTGTTCACATAAAGAAACACCTTCTCACATTCACAGGCACAAGAAGGAAGCAGGGGATGAACAAAAGTATCTAAATTTCTTGTTCTCCCAAAAAATTTTGGTACAGCCATGCTTCCTTGGCACACTTAGATATCCTGGATTCTACAAGAATTTCAGTTGTGTTTGGGGTTTATTGGTTTCTCAATCAGAGGAAAACAACCAAAAAAAAAAAAAAAAAAACCAGGAAAAGTTAAAAAAAAAGGAAAAAAACCCACCCAAACCTTTAATTAAGAATAATTTACTAAAGGTGAAAAACAACATAAGAGATAATAGCTTATGAGGGGGTGTATTTAAATGGATTTTATTAACTCTTGGTATTCTCATCCAGCATATTCAAGTATATTTTGAAGAAATTGATGGAAATTGATGCTGAATAGAAGGGCCACAACCATGACCTCACTAAATTCAATAGTTTTGCTGTTCGCTTCAATAGGGCCAGGATTTTACCCTAAGGGTTTAGCACCAAGGTCAAAGACAGAAAGTAATAAAGTAACCACATGGATGGGTTTTTTCAGTAAGTTCAGAAAAAAACAGAACTGAATAAAAAGGGTCTTAAAAGAACTCTGGGTTAAGGCTTTCAAGCCCTGCAGCCTTTTAGGGTCAATTCCTGTGGCAACAGGAAAAGAATGATGGTATGTGACACATCTGAGTGAACTTTGGCATATTTACATCTGTTAAACTTGTGAATTCCAGCCCCACAGAACACACATTTCAGTTCAAGAGGGCTTAGTTTTCTATAATTCAAATCTTGATGCATTTACCTAGCTGGTTTGCTATAGCTGGATGCAGAAATTTAAAAAAGAAATCATGCAAGGTTTAGGAGAACAGCAATTACATCTATCATAGCTGTGGCAGCAGTTTCTACAGAAACACTGAAGAAAAAGCAAGGATGTGTCCCCAAAAAATGCAGGGCTGCCATCTGAAGTTTCCCTCCTCACGCAGTACTGACCACGGATAAAGCAGAATGAAGACATGGAAAGATGCTTTCCAGTTCTTTCCAATTTGGGCTTCTAGGAACATAAAGGATGACTGTTGCTTGCAAACTTACTCTATCATCTACTTAGCACTATTTTTTGAGGAGAAAGAGAAGAAAATGGGATTTGTGATTTCTACAAATCAACTAAAATGCCTTGGGTTTTCTGGTGAATGAAAATTAAAAGATTTCCTGAAAAAAAACCCCAAAACCTTGAAATCCTAAGATTTCAGCAAGGAAGAAAATGCTTTTCATGAGTGCCATCAGATAACTCAGCAGAGAGGTGCTTCCATTTTACAGATGTGCAGGGGACAGCACCAGATTCTGAGGACCAAATCACCACTTATGATATCCCCTTCTGTCTCTCCCCATGGAAAGGTTGGTGGCAGCACCTGGACTCTGCCCACAGTGAAAATGCAGGGAGCCAATGGAAGAATCTGTGTTATTCACCCCGACTCTCAGTCCCTCCAAAGAGGCACAAGGCAAGGGAGAATGAAAAATGCAGCTGCTGGAACCTTTGAGGAACCAACCCAAACCAGTACAGTGGTGCATTCAGGAACAGGAGGATAACTCTGATTTAATTAAGTGCTCAGTGATTCTTCTGGTGCAAACAGGTCCAGGGAGAAGGGCCAAGCCCTACAGACACACACACGATTTTCTTGGGAATGCAGACAAGCAAAGAAAAGCAGATATGTTTATTCCAAGATGACAAGATAGCATTGTGACTGAAATGAGGTATTTATCTAGGAAGGGGAGGATGAAAGGATGATTGTTTTTAAACAGTTCTAAAAATTGAGGCCACCACAGTTTGTTAAATGAAGGATGGGGGAGCAGATATGAGGGAGAAAAATGAGATTAAATTATCACATTCTTGCACCAAAGAGAGGAAAATGAAAAATAATTGGACATGACTTTCTGTTTGGACTAGATCAGCCCATGCTTTCATGAGTCAAAAATAATAAATACAGTATTTGCAACACCATAAAATTCCCATTAAAAAAGTCCAGTAGCAGTAACTTTTTGGAAGACGGGAAACAAATTACAGCAGGTTTACACTGAGAAAGCTTTAAGCCTTCAACATGTCAGATATTTTGGGAATGATTTACCACCCTTTTCTGAAAGTAAAATGTAAACTCAATGAGATGCAGACAGAAAACAGGCCTTCTTATTGAACTTTGACACAAGAATAATGAAATCATCCATAATCTACGTCTGATTTGTTTGGGAATATCTTTCTCTCTCTCTATTTAAATTCCTTGCAAGAAAAAAGAAAATCTTGCTGAGAAAAGGGAGGAAAAGGGCTCATTTGAAATATTTCATATCTTTTAAGAATAACTCCTCTTGATTTCTAGTTTCTATCATCACAGCCTTATGGATGTGACCCAAAAGCTGCTGACACCGGAGTTGGAAGATTCCGCCTCATTTCAGTGGAGGTGACATGTCTAAACCAGACTCTTAATCTCCAACATTTTACAGGCCACTGCCACCACAAAGCACACCTCCCAAGAGGCAGGAGCAGGACTTTTCTCAGTGGATTCCCAGTACTTGAATATCCCCTTGGCACTGGTGAGAGACAGGGAGATTTTTCCTGCTGTATTTGGAGCAGGGAGCTGAGCGCTGACACAGTCCATGGCAGAAAGGCACTGAGCTGTCAGTGTCTCTGCTTGCTCCTGCATCATCCCAGAATGACATAAAGGCACCTTGGAAACATGTGGATTTCATCCCCAAACCCATAAAATTGTCATATATCAAGTAATAGATTTTAACATCTTTTATGGGCTATTGCTTTCCCCCACACTATCTCCCCTCCACTTTGTGCTAATTTGTATTCACTGCTGTTGTCCTGAAAGCTTCTCTGAAACTTCCCAGGAGATCTATCATACCTTGCCTGTTTTCCCTGGTTTCTAAAATTAATTTAAATCAAGTATTTCATGTATTCCATCATTTTCTTTAGGCCATTTAGTGAAGATATAGCCAATTATTCAACATAAAATACAACCAGATCATTTCACCACAACCGATAATGTGATTTATCATCACATTCAATTAGAACCCACTGAAGGCAGTGGCAAAAGTCCCATTTAGCTGAATAAGGATCAAGGCTTTGATTTACTGTGCCATAGGAATAACACATAATGGAAAAGGCCAGGATACATACGGGATTCCAATTTCAAAGAGATTGTTTTGAATCAGTTGCTTTCCAAGCATGATAATGCTCAGCTGAATGCAGAGTTCCATCAGACACCCTCCTGGAGCACACTGCAATTAAACAAAACCAGAGAGTGTGAAGGGATTAAGAGAATTAATTTTAAAATACCTACTTGGGAGAGGTCCCAGTGTCTCCATGTGCCCATTGTCCCTACCACCACTTTTTGTGGGATCACGCAGCTCACAGATTACTTCAAATCTGTGTTTGACAAGGTATTTCATCTACACTCATAAAACTGCATTATGGAAAATATGCAGAGCTCTGAAACAACTCACAGTGCCCTGGGGTTCCTATATTTCCTTTAAAAATATTTACTATATAATCAATGTAATAAACATAATGCAGGATCACCAATACTCTTCCAACCTGATGTCTCCCGGGGGAGAAAGAAAACCTTCAATCTTGCAAAGACTTTTATGTCAGCTTTATTGTCAGACCTTGAGTACATCTCTCAGCTTTCAAGGGAATACCCACAGCAATCCCCTTCATGAGGGGATTAAAAAAAAAAAAAGTTTATAAGTTCAGCACAAAATGGCTCCATGTTTTTAAGCTATTAAAATTTGCAAGCTTCCGGTAATCTGCAGAATGGGAAGACAGATTCATGCTTCCCAAGGACTTCAACCAAATCATGGAATGTTTGTGCCTTAGTGCCCAGTTGTAAAGCACAGAAATGGTGAAGCTTCACCTAAGAAAGACTATGAAATAGTCAAAACCACAGAAAGAAAGAATACAAAGTTGCCTTAGATGGAAACCCTGGATTTTGCGTATTCAAGTTGAAGATTTGACCTCTTGTTTTAACAAGTGTTTTCTATTTTTTCCCTGTTGTCTGTAGTCCACTGAACACTGTATACATATTTCTTTGTGTAAAGGATTTCATTTGTAATTTGAATTTCATATGTACTTACCTCTTCCATCCTATAACCTTTGAACACATATACATAATGACCAGGACGGCCAACAAACCTGAAAGCAATAATAATATATAAACTAGAATAAAATCAGAAAAATACACTAATATTGACACCATGATTTAATATAAAAACACAAAAATAAGTTAACTTTGCAATCAAGATTGTTCATTTGATTGTTCAATTGCATTAGTCAAAATAATTTCAGAAGTTGCTTTTTAAACATTAATTTTCAAGGCCTCAGCATGTATTCAGCTTTGATTATTTCAAAGAAATAGGCCTCTACAAATGGTTTTCTACTACCTCTGGATAAAATAATTTTAATAAAATATTTTTCAGAAATAAAACAATATAATTAAAATCCCCTCACTTGATTAGAGATGGCAAACAAACCTGGGGACACATATCCTAGTTCACATTCTCTTATATGTGAATAATGGCTTGAATGGAATTATTTATACATCTGTACGCAACTAAGACTCTTCTGGCTACACCAGGAGAAACAATGATATTGACTTTATTCGAGCCATACAACAGAAAAATATGGTTAAAAAAAGAGAGAATTTTGTGACTCTTTTTTCATTGGTGTCTTACAATATTTGCAACTGCTGGCAAAATGCATCATTAATCCTCAAATGAAAGGTGCTGGATAAGATTAGTGAAGAGCAGAGATTAAAAAACTTTACAGCCTCAAAAGGAAGAGCAAAATTGTAGGACACAGAATCCAGAGGATGTTTTAAATGTTTTTGGTTTTTTTTGTTTTTTTTGCCAAAGTTTTAGCAAAGTATCATTTTAAGCTTCTCATTCAAAAGCATGTGGATGACTGGGTCCCAAAAGAAAAGGATTCTGAGCCCATAGGAAGTCACACGTATTTAGCAGGACAGCTGAATTAGCTTTTTGGTCAATCACTTCATTTGCCAGTTGACTGTAGCGATTTCTTAATTTGATATGCGAGAATAATGTAAAATAATGTGAAAGTAATAGAAAAAAGACCTCCATAATTTTAAATTAAATAGGAAGAGCTTTCTTTGCTAAATGATGCTTCAAGGAAAATTTGCTACACTGTGGAAAGATAAAGCCTGTAAGCACCACCATTTGTTATAAAATCTACACTTTTTTTAAAAACCAAAATTAATTATTAACTTTAGATAACCCTTCAAAGATATTTTTTCAGAGCTGGCAAAGATGACCAGTCCCATGCCTTTGTGCCCATTTTTATACACAGATCCACTAGCATAGACACATATACAAAAATGCATATAGAGAAATATATATATGGAAAGGATATTTATCCTACCTTCCTTTGAAAAAGGCAACATAAAAAATTGATGCATAAGAATTCACAAACTTCAGTAGGAATGCCTTCAAAATCAGTCTTTCCTCAAAAGTTTTCTCTGTTTTTGGTATTTCTGGGAAAAAAAACCCAAAAAACAGAACAGAGAACTGAATCATTAAGTAACATAAAAATACCTGAATCCCCAAACACGTACAATAAAACCCCAACTTCAAATTTTGGGCTTATATTAATTTTTTTTTTGTACCTCTAATTTGTACCAAAGCCACTAGGTCTGCCACCAAGTCCTGATTTCCAGAGATACTCAATTCCAAAAAGCAAAAGTAGTGTAAATTACTCTGTTGTATATATGGACATTAACATACGCAAGTATATCTGCTACACGATTACACAACTAAAATAACAAAACATTTGTATTCTCAATTGAGGAATGCTGAAAGCAAAGTACAAAGACTTTCAACCAGAAAAAAAAACACCTTAAAAGCATCCTTAACTTGTAGTCCACAAGCCTTCTTTCCTGTGGTGAGATTGTTGATATGCTTTGTTTTTGTTTTTTTTTTTTTTTTTTTTGATATGAGATTGTTTGATGCTAAACACAAGACTAAATACATTTTTGAATAAGGTATTAAGTGAATTAAGTACAAAATAAAGGCATATTTTTTGTTAACAATTCACGATATATGTTCTGTATTTCAAGATTTCTTGGTTTAAATATTTTCAGTATTCATTACTCTATTCCCAGATTTATTTTCAATTTCTGTGGAAATTTTCTGGCAGCAGAAAGCACAGGTATAAGACAGAGGCTTTTCAAATTGATGGCAGGATCCTTTTTTAAAGATTTCAGATGGGTGAAACCCTTGCATTTCTCTGCTTATCCTGAGCTGTATCTAATGTTAGAGAAGATAATTTTATGATTAAATTTATCATTCTTGGCTGAACTTCTGTGGCACAAAGAAAGTGTGGAATAATAAGGAGATCCAGAGCTCTGGCTTGACTTTACTAAAAATTCTACTGTACTTGTACGGTTTTGTTTCAGGTACAGTTTGAATGTTCTGTTTGCTTCGCTGTTTTGGGGTGTTTTTTCTTAAAAAAGCTGCATGATTATTTTAGCAGTAAAGGAATAGAAAAGCCTAATGAGCCCTCACTGCCTGACTTTCTTTGCAATAATTTCAACCACATTTTCATAAAAGATCAGTGCACAACCTGATGAGCCCTAAGGTATAACCCACCTATAAGTATAAAAAAGCCTAATTACACTTTCAAACAATTTGTAGGTGATCCCATACACTGAATAGATCTGCAAGAAAAAAGCTCAGGGCAGCAGGAATACCAAATAACAGCAGTGCAACTTCTCATTTGAGGGAGAAAAATCCTAAACCCTGCCTTACAGAGAATCCCCCCCAAGGATGAGCTCAGCCTCTGGATGAACATTTGCACACCATATATGGTCCCAGAGGCTCTCTCAGACATCCTATACCATAGCCATAGAGGCATGTGTAGAATTTGTCCTCCAGCTTGTTGGGTATGCTGCATTGGAAACGCATTCAGCCAGAATAGGTGCGTTAGTAACAGAGAAAACTCCCTTATCCCAAAAAAATGAAACACTCAGTGGTGGGTTGTTACACCAAAATTAGGCAGCTGGAACTTTGCAGGTGGGGGATGAGTTGAGCTAAGGGTGGAATGGGCCTTAGCTCCCTGAAGGAGCTGCTGCATTTGCAAGGGACAAACATGAGCAGTTTTGATTTTGTCCCCATTTCACTGGTTCTTCCTCGGCCTCAAGAAAGCATTGAGGGTGAGGAGGCCCAGGCACAGGTTGCCCAGATCAGCTGTGGCTGCCCCATCCCTGGAAGTGTCCAAGGGCAGGATGGGGCTGGGAGCAACCTGGGATAGTGGAAGGTGTCCCTGCTCATGGCAGTGGATTGGAACGAGGTGAGTGTCAAGGTCCCTTCCAACCCAACCCATTCTGTTGTCCTGAGTTACAAGTGAGCTGTAAATCTTGTCTGGCACCACCTGATTACTGAAGATGATCTGTTCTTCCTGGGAATAGCAGGATACCATCTGCACTTTAGCTGGTCTGGTCTGTGATAAAGGGGCATCAGTGCCCCACTCCACTGGGCCCACAGGAGTCCTGCTTCACCCTGTACGAGCTCTCTGTATTGATAACAACAAAACTCCTACTCTTCCTCCTGATTGAGGATGTATTGAGGCATATACATGACTGTGATCCCATGATTAACATGATTAACACAATTGGTATCAGTGCTATTGTGCTTACAGATGTAATTTTTCACCTGAACAGAGATTCAAGTGTACTTGGGCCAAGAATAGAAACATATGCTGTCAAGAGCTACTCCTTCGGCCCAACAAGTGTGTTCTTTAGCTTGTGGATTAAGTGCAGTGTGAAATGAGAATTGAGTATGTTTTTCTCCTCTCAGTAATGAGAGTTCACAAGTTAAGCAACATTTACCAGCACGCATGCATTTTTAAAAAAATTTGATTACATTTGGCATCTGAGCCTAGTGCCGGAGAAAGCTGCCTGAGTGAACTTTCTAACTCATGTAATTTGTAGCACTAGATATTATTCTGACTGGATCCTTCTTTAAAAAAAATCTGATGGTTGATTAGGAATGGTGCCCTAATAATGATAAGATTAGAATTAGATGCAAAGTGACAGGGGGAAATAATCAGCAAATACAAAATTGTTGTTTCTTTCACAGTTCAGCCCGGTGCACATTTCAAAGAGAGAGATTTTCCTCCTGCACTTCCCAAAGAGAGGCCATGGCAGTGCCTAGCACTTCCCAGCTCCTGCCTTGAAGTTGCTGGAGAAATCTCATTTTCACCTTTTCCTGCTCTTTCCACAGCTGTGTCATTCCTTAACATTTGTGCCCTTTCTTACCTGGCCAGGTGCAGTGAACAGAATTGATCAGGTCACACACAGTTAGCAGCCTGTCACTCATGTGAAAGCTGAAAATCTGGGTACAATTTTGGCCTGAACAGTGAGCCTGAGCTCATTTATTCTACTAGAACAGAGTCCATTCATGAACCCTGTTACAATCTGCCCAAAGCTTGGTGCAAAACAGAAAACAAACAAATGAACGCACTAACATGGCAATTTGTGAAAATTAATTGCTTTGTCTTAATTTCTTTCAAATACTTTAGGAAATTAATCTAAACAGGACCATACTTCCACAATTCAGGCTTGGACCTCTAACAACTGCAAGACTGTAGTTTGTAACGTTCTTCCAAAAACAGGACTGAAAGAGATGTTTTCATTTGTGAATTTGAAAGCGTTTTAAGAAATTGAGAAGAAACAGAAGTCTGAAGAGCAATCTCATGTAAAGGCACTAGGCACTGTCAGTCAACATCCTTGGTCTAATTTATATAATAAAATAAAGCCCAGCCTGAACTCCTGTTAGTAAACATCTTTAGCCTAATGTATATAACAAATCAATACTTTAGGCCTAAACCGCTATAGGAGTCAAAGGAATGACTTCTCTTCAGAAGAAGTAAATAGCCAGGCTTGCAACAATATTTTGATGTTTAGAATAAACTTTGAAAGTCCAACCACTAACTGCAGTACAAATCATTAATAAAAAGTCCAGCCCAGATATGCCCCTAAAATGGAACCAAAAAATCATTTGAGCAGTAAGGAAATGGTTAAAACTTTCATCAGGGAAACAACATCAGTGTAACTTTGTCAGAGCCATCAACATTTTTTAAACAACCCACGGACTCTCTGCAGCTCTTATCTTAAAGAGGTAACTTCACAGGCCTGAGTGTTTTCACAGGCCCTGTCCAAGAGGAAATAGTCCTCTTGGACCCTCCTTGCACCCCCTGGTGTCAATACATGGATTAATGAGGAATGTGGCGAGGCAGTTTTACCAATTTCTGTCAGCCATTTGGCCACAGCTCCATAAATTTCATCAAGGATGAGGACCACCACAAGGTTAATGATGACAGCAGTGGCAGTCACAGTCACTCGAACATTGGACCTGGTTGTCTCATTTGTGCTGAAGGACAAGGCTGCTGCTGTCGTGATTCGGTACACAATGACACCAAACACTGCTGAAAACGCCAGCATGATCTGCAAACAAATGAACAGATGGATTAGTTCAGCCTGGAAACAGAAGCTTTGGCTGGGAGGTTGGGTGTGTTGCATGAATTGGCATCGCAGGGTTGTTTCTTAGTGTGAGGTGACAACATACAGGTGATCAAATTAAAAGGCTTTCCAGCAAACAGGGACATAAATAAGAAATAAGGAAATTGATGCACAACTCCAAACTGGCACAACAATTCAACTGACACAAGACACTCAGAGGGCTGGATGCTTCACAGCACCTCTCCTGTGAAGACAGCTTGAGAGAGTTGGATGAAGATTTGAGAGAGTTGTTTAGCCTGGAAAAGAGAAGGCTTCAGGGAGATTTTATACCACCTTTCAGTATCTAAAGGAGGCTATAAAAAGGAGGGAAAGTGACTTTTTACATGGGCAGGTAGTGGTAAGAAAAGGGAGGATGGTTTTAAACCAAAAGAGGACATTTTTTTGTTAAACATTAGGAAGAAATTCTTCCTGTGAGGGTGCTGAGGCCCTGGCACAGGTTGTCCAGAGAAGATATGGCTGTCCCATCCCTGGAAGAGACCAAGGCCAGGGTGGATGGGGCCCTGAGTGTCCTGATCCAATGAGTGGCAACCCTGCCTCTGGCAGGGAGTGAGAATTAGATAACCTTTAATGTCCCTTTCAATCCAAACCGATTCTTTCATACTGATTCCATGGATTCCAGCAGATGGGCATGCCCGTTCTGATTAAAGCTACACACACCATTCATGCAGTGAAATTTGGGCATTTTGGGTTCAAAAGCAGGAATTAAGCAAGATCTTTTATCTGACAATAGATTCAGATGGCTTGGACTGAAAGGCCTGTATTTATGTGCAGTCAGGTAAATGGGCTTTACTGGCTCAAACAGCTTCACCTGTGCACAGCAGAAGTGCCAATTTACAAATTAAAGTTATTATTCCCATTATTATTCCTTTAAAGCTGACCTAAGTGGAGCTATTAGGGCTTCACTTTACATTTGTGTCCCTGAAATCTCTTGGCATCCCTGGCATTCCTTGTGGGCCAGCTTTGACCCATGAGATGAGGAAAGTTGGTCCTGCTACTTAAGGTCAAGTTCCCACAAGAAGAATTTGAATTGCACAGGGTTGTGGTATTCTGTTAAAAAAAAAAAAAAATCTAAACCAATCAACAATGAAAAAGAAATCATTAAAACAATAATAAAAAAATAGCAAATGTTCATCATCACAGCACAAAAGGAGACGGTGCATTCTTCCCTTTCATTTTTGCCTTTAGCAAGAATTCCAGTGTATATCCATTATTTTAGGTAAAACATCTTGAGATCATCAGATGAAAGAGACTACATCAATGTGAAAGATTAGACTACTGCAATTATTAAAATGGGCCTAAGGGTCCAGATTCAAAACACAGCTTTAAGGAAATTTAACAGTTCATTTTAATGATGAAGCAATAGTTTATTGAATTCCTGTATGCAGGGGAAGGTTGTTGCCTTCAGTGAAAAGGCATTGCAAAAGATCCACAACAAGAAACAGAATTAAATTATTAAAGGTTGAAGGTGAAAACTGGGCACAAACTCTTTCATGAAGAACTAGTAAACATACTAAGAATTAATTATTTGGAGAAACTCCTGGAGATTTCAGATGAAATTGTCAAATATGCTTTGTCAGCAAATAGTAATAGTTAGACCTAGTAAAATATCTAATTTTACTTTTTAAATAACTGTTTAATTAATTTTAAATGAAATGTAGGTTGAATGATAAAAGCGTGAACCTGAAACAGTTTAAATGAAAACTTTTCAAATGACATAAAATATTATTTCCTTTGGTTTTGTAGTTTTCATTGTGTCAAGGAAACTTTTCTAGTTTTTATATCTATTTTTCTTTTGAGTTACCTACCAAATGAAGAGACAAAAAAAAAAATCACATTCATGCTGAACTACATTACTGTGACAGAAGGGGTGCAGGAACACAAGAACCTTAACTTTTTCCTTGCTTCTCCATTACAATCACTGGAGTAGAGAGTGAAATCCCCAACAAAGGAAAAAACAAAACAACACCACCTGGTATTAATTTACTTCACCTTCCACTTCTACAGACACCTTAAGCTCTTTTCTTTTTCTTAATCTGTGTCACAGATTCCTCCTTTATAGTCAACTTCCTGATACTCTCATCCTGTTTCTTTTCCCCGTGGATTTCTTTGCAATTTTTTCTCTATGGTGGTGGACAAAGAAAATCAGAAATTGGATGCCTCATTCTGAAGCTGATGAGATCCCTGAGCCTCCATACACACTTGTCTCCATCACGAATTCCCACTTAAGAATGATATCTTAACAGTACAGGAAGAAGAGTCAAGGACAATCCACACTAAACAGAAAAAGAGGAAATTTCAGATCATGAAAGTTCAATGAACTTGAACCTGACCAAAGGATTTTAGGGATCTCTTGCCTTGAGGAATGTTACTGGAGGATGAGAGAGTAGCAACCTTTTCAAATCCATGCAATGCCATAGCAAGGTGTACAAAACGACTGCAAAAAAAAATGTTTTATTTGTTTAAAGAACAAAAATATTTACTTTGCAAAAGCACCAGGGTTTCAGAAACTCTCAGTTGCTCAGCTGTTTTTAAACATCTGCTTAGACACAGATGGAAAAACACTCCTTTAGGAGTCTTCATTATCTGTGCATCCAGCAAGAACAGAAAATTGAGGAGGGCCTGTAGGACTGCACAGTTACTGCGAGCAGTTCTCACTCCCCAGACAGTCGCTCTGGGGGAATTGTTCCCGTATCTTCACAGCATTTCTCTCATTCCTGAAAATACCTCTTCTGCCCAAATTCCTGATCAGGCAGGCCACCATTTGTTCAGGTGCCCACTTTGGGTTTTGTTGTCATTGCCAGCATTCCCTCTGGCCATTCTTCCCCCCGTTAGGGCACTTTCTTCTCTGAATAGCTGAACTAGTCTGTCCAGGACTGAACTACTTAGAAACAGATGTGAAAATTGGCTGCAGAAAAGGTCACCTACTGAGCCTGGTATGAATGAAGACAAACAGGAAAGCAAACTAGATCTGAGAAGGAAGCTATAAAACCCTGTGGGCTAGGCTGCTACCTCCATCCAAGTAGGATAACAATTTAATGTCCAGATAGTTCTCTGGCTCCTCAGTAGGGCTATTCTAGAGTCAAGTATTACACCATGTGAGTGAGAATAGAGTGGAAGAGGCTGAACTCTTCTGCCATGACACAAATTGATTTTCTTCCTTCCTCTGACTGAGCCAAACAAAGAAAAGCCCCAGTGATTCATTGCTCCCTGCCACTCTGCTCTCTCCCAGCACTACCAGCGTCTTTACCACCAATTCAAAAATCTCTGCCACAACATGTGCCTTCTAAATATGGGGTTTAAAAATTGTGTTGTGTTATTGTTAATCACACTCAAGAAAAACTTTTAGATTCCCAGCTGAGCCCAGACCTCCTGCTACCATTGATCTCACTCTGCAAAAATAAGACTTGTCAACTTCTGTCCTACAATCCCTGCGGAAAAGAACAGCTTAAATCAGACTTGGATCTTCTGCCCCCTCTGCAGTCCAATGAGGCTTTGTGTACAACCAAAGGACTGTGATCAGATTTTAAAGCATCCACACATGTGTGAATTAATCTTGGAATTTTTTGGTGATGTAAGACTGGACGAGAGAAGCAAACAATGTTTTTTTCAACCTGTATTTTGAAAAGAAAAACCAGCATGCCTAGCTTAATACAGAGAGAGGAAAAGCCAGAAAAAAAGCAAAAGACCACTACACATTTCTTGAAAGAGGATTCACAAAAGTGATGTACACAACAGAAGAATGGAAATTAAGGGGAAAAAAAAAAAAAAATGAAAGATTTTACACTAAGAAAATCATTACCAGCTTCAAGAATCACCAGGGAATGTATGAAATGTAAAGCTTGGGGAAGAAGGGACAGAACAAATATTCTATAGCAATGTAGAAATTTTCATGGGAAACACCTATAGATTTGGAACACCAGACCCTTTTGGCCTGGGAAAGCTAGCATTAAAAATCATTTTTACAGCACTAGAAATTGCTTGGGTGCATGTCTGTGTCTGACTCTTGTATCCGTGCACATACACATAAATTCAAGATGTTATTATTTATTTTTTACGTAGGCCTTATAGTTAAAATAATTAATCTGTGTGAATAATAATAATAGAGCTTAACAAGACCAATAAGATTTCTCAGTACAATACTATTTCACAGACTGACAACAAAACTTCGGTCTGATCTTTCCAATTCCTCTTTAACTAATCTAGCAGGAAAAAGGGAAACATCCAGACAGTAAAGAGCAAATTGCAATATCCATGTGGAATAGCAGAGCATGCTCTCCCTCATCAAAAGTTGGTTTGAATTTCATGCATGGTTTGCAAGTTGTCTCCTGTAGGTACTTTTAGATAAATAATGCTCAAAGGATTGCAAAAATAAGATCATTGTGTCCATTTTGCCAGATGGTGAAAGTCAGCCTAGTTCCACTAGTCACGAACAGAAGTTGAAGAATTGGAGCTCTGCATTTTACATCTCACAAACTGTAGGTAATAACCCTTTATAAATCTCTCTGAGATGTTACAGTAAGCAGTCAGGGTAATACCTAGGCTATGAGTCAGGAAAGCACTTTAAGCTCATGCTTAGGGGAGATTTAAACATGTGCTGAAAGTCAAGAGCACATGTAAGCACCTTGTCTGCAAAAGAATGACTTGTAAAAGCTCAGTCAGAGCTGTGTGCTTAGTCAGACTCAGTGTGGCCTGCTCTAAGTGAAGTCATGACTCATGCCACTTAGAGGTTCTGTTTAAAAAGCTAATATTGGTTATGGCCACAGGGTGGTAAACTCACTCAAAATGCTGTGAGTACATCCATATAGGACACATCTAAAATGTACAGAAAATATTCTGAATATGCAATGCATACATTTTCATAAATATATAAACATATCTATAAGGGTGTAGACATTAACTTCAATGTGAGCATTTGATTGTCAGAAAAAGAAATTAAATCTTCTCAGGACATCTGGTGCAGTATATGCAAATTTCAGTAAATTAGAAATACACGTAGGTATCTTAAAATAATTTAGGCTGCTGCTGAGTTTCCTTAGTTACATGCTGCAAAATGGTGTAAACAGGCCTATTTCAATGTCATTTTATAGTGGCTGTAGATATGAACAGAAGTTTTCAGTCAGTAATTACTGTAACCAGAGGGATAATGGGATCCTTTACCATGTAATTTAGGGCTTGTTAGCCAGGCCTTTCTGTTGCTGTTTACAAAGTCCAGCAGCTTCATGCTGCGTTCGTTTTGCTGGAAATTTGACTTTTGACTAGGACAATGGTGTCCCCAATTTAGAGGCTGCCCTGCACACCTGATTCTTGCTCCCAAGGGAGGACTGTGTACCATGATCTTACTGTATGCCATGATCTACTGTACAGTCCATCCCTGATAAATATTGGATAATATTTCTCAGCAACTGATTTATTTCACCTGGATGTCGCCTGTTCAGAGGCTCAACCATTCCGAACATCACTATGACCAACATATGCAATACTGTGCTCACATCTAAATAGCAATGTTATCCATTTACTGGATAATAGAGATGGAGCAGAAACCATGGAGGAGAGGCAGAATTTGTGTAATGAACTGCTGGCATTGCAGCAAATCAGACCTTCCAAAGCAGTCTTTGGAAAAAGAATAAAGCTGGAATCAGGCATTGAACTCCATGAACCTTCCTAGTATTTCTCCCAAACTGACCTTACCTTCAGATTTTTAACATATTTGAGAACAGCAATTCAAGTGTTTCCTTCTAGATGCTCATGGCAAAGTTTCTCACACCTAATAAACAAGCAGAAATGCAAATAATGTTACCATAAATATAATCAGTCCAAAGTTCGCTGCATATCCAGGCATGCGGTCACTCCATGTCAGTTTCTCCTTTTCATTCTGTAGGGAAAACACATAAAATAACAGACGTGACAGAACTGTACAATAGGAAATACTAGAATTAATAGGATGTATTATTGAGAGCCTTCTCAATTCCCCTGCTGTGATTTTGAAGTATATTTTGCGATTTAGAACACTGATATTTTGAAGTAGATTTTAATTCGAGATAAAGGAGGGGGAAAGTAAATAAGATGTGTAGAAAATGTCTGCAAAATTCAGAAAATATCCTATGCAAATATGATTTAAGTGTTTGAAGACATGTATTCAAATCTTACTAAAGTTCATATCAGGAGAAATCCCTGAGATTGACCTTAATTCACATTTAGGCAAAGCAAGACTCAAGCATTTATTTTGAATTGTTTCTTGTAAAACTACAGAAGAATAGTGCTTGAGACAGAATGCTGACTACCATTGAACCCAGATTTTTTTTCTAATGGTCACAAGCACCAAATGTGACCCCCCAGATAATTCTTGGCAAGACACCCCAATCCTTCCCCTAGTACTTGTTTTATAGCAGAGGGAAACTACAAATGCAAGGTCCCTCTGATTCCTGCTGCCAGCCTTGTTTTTTTCACGCATAAACAGCATCTCCCTCTTCCCTGCATAATTTAAAGCAACTGTGATCAGTGAAATCCTGTATGTTTTCCCTCTCACCACACAAATTCAACTCCAGCCCCAGCTGCATGTACATCCATTTGAAGATGGATTTATGTGAGAAATACGATTCCGTCCTCTCAAAACAGGTTTCTTAAAATAATAATAAGGTTGGTGCTTTGTTTAAGTTAAACTAAAACTATATAATCAAATTAACTAGGGACACAAAGCCAGCTGCTGTTGGTATTTCTGTGAAGGACCACTGCTGCGCCATGGATCAGTACTACCCTTATACTGGAGTTAGCCCAGAGTGATTCTGAATTTAAATGAGTTTAAATCAGATTAGAACTCAGATCCAAGGTTTCCTATAAACCATTTCTAAGGCACAATTCCCCACAGATAAACATAAAAATCTTGGAGCATTGTGCCTTTGTAAGAAGCTTTCCCAAAGCAGAATTAGGAACGCAGCATATATGTGCAGAAATGCAGCTGTGGATTGCCTAACCAGGATGTGGAATTAGACCTAGGACACAAACCTGCCTATACATCCATTGCCATGGTGGTGGTGCCTCAGATGCTGTGGGAGAGAGCAGTGCTCAGCAGTCCCTCTTGTGACCTCGTCTCCTTCAGGACAGTCCTGGCAGCACTGGGGCACAGCAGACCCAACCAGAAGCACCAATAATTTGGCCCAATGTACACAGCAAAAAAATGCTCTTTACACTTCACACAAAGAATCCAGCACGTAGCTGGAAGGCTACTTGAAAAAGCATTCCTGTGAATGCACACATGCATTTCATTGCATTTTGGCTGTTACCACTCAGCAATTCTAGAGGACATAAAGAAGTTCTGAGGGATTATATTCCCAGAAGGCCTGAAGGACACCACATTTTACAATTTCACTGGGGGCTGTATGGGACTGTGGCTGGTGTGGGGCTGTGCCTTGTGCTTGCACTGAACACAGGGCTGATAATAGAGAGATGGGTTTGTTACTGTGGAGCAGAGCTGACTCTGAGCCAAGCCTTTTCTGCTTTCTGCTGCCACACTGCTGAAAGAATTTAAGAGGAGACACAGCCAGGACGGGTGACCCCAACTGACCAAAGGGACTTTCAAAACCTTATGATATCACGATCAATGTATAAAGTGGGAAGAAGAAGGAGGAGGGGAGAAATATGTGGAGTAATGGTGCCTGTCTTCCTGAGGAACTGTTGCATGTGCTGGAGCCCTGCTCTCCTGGGGATGGCTGAACACCTGCCAACCATGGCAAGCAGGGAATTAATTCCTTGTTTTGCTTTGCTATAAAGCTGCCTTTATCCTAACCAGGGATTTTCTCCCTTCTACCCTTCCCATTCTCCCCCTGATCCTGCTGTTAGGGAGTGGCTGCTGGCTGGGGTTACACCAGTACGGTCAGCAGGCCATCTTCTCAGCTCACTCTTCCATGTATGTGCTTCCATGAACCTTATTTTTCCATGCAGCACTCAGCCAAAGGGAGATCTGAACAACATGAGGAGCTGCTACACCAACATGAGAATAAAGGCAATGTTGGATGAAGAAATGGAGCTACTTAGCATACACTTCCAAAAATTTGGAAATTTAGCTCAATATCCCAGATCTCTCAGTCTGTCCTCGTCTATCCCAGTCCATGTCAGAAGTTTCAGCTCCTCCTAGTCCCTTCCAGGGCTCCTAGTCCATCTCAGTTTTTCTCGGTTCATCTTCATCCATCCCAGAGCTCCCAGACCACCCAGGCAGTGGAAAGCTATCTATCTTCTGTTCTTGTGACCAGACACAGGGTCTCTGGACCCTGGAAACGGGATGAAGCTGAGTCAGGAAAGGTTTAGGGTGGATAGCAGGAAAAGGTTATTCCCCCAGAGGATCGCTGGGCACTGAACAGGGAATTCCCATTTCCCCAGGGAATGGTCACAGCCCCAAGGTTGCCAGAGCTCCAGGAGTGTTTGGACAACACTTCCAGGCACAGAGTGGGATTGTTGGGGAATCCTGTGCAGGGCCAGGAGCTGGGCTAGATGATCCTCTATCTGGAGCAGCCCAAAAGTATAAGTATTTGTTGACACAACAAGATTAAATGGATCATCTGCAGAACAATCTCAGTGACAGATATGTTATGCTGAGGAACATTCCCCATGATGAACTGTGTTGCAGGGAAATATTTATATGCAGACAGAAAACCTCACAATATAAACTGTTTGGTTTTGTGCCAGAGGCAAACTAAAAGAATTAATTTAAAAATCTTACTTTCATTTTCCTTCAATAATATGACTGATTTTCAATTCTAGTGGAGGAAAAAGTACGTTTTGTTCTGTGTGCTGTGATGTGTTCCTGTTTTAATGTTTAATCGTGTGTGGAATGTATTCCTTGAAGAGATACAGCTCTTTTCCTATTAAAAATAAAAAATGAAATTTAAAAAAAAATCAAAAAAGAAAGAAAGATAAAATTAAATCCCTTCTTTATTTTTCTGGATGGTTTATTTCCATATGAGTTACCCAATGTGGCAAAGATCCAGCTCTGCAGCTTCAGATGGATGGGCCTCTGGGCTGTGGAAACCTGGAAGTACCCTGCACTTGGACAGCACCAGGCAGCTTTTGAAAACAGTTCTATGCTTCTCTGTGAATTAAACCACAGCCACTTTGCTCAGATCACAAGTATTTCAGTTATTAATTGATATTTTCCCTCAAGATGACAACTCCTCCAAGCAGGTGTTTCTAACCATCAGCTATGCCAGCTCAGCCTGCACTTGGGGAGTACAACCAAAGATTTTCTTTCTTCTCCATCCTGCTTTGTAGCTCCAGTGCTGAAATTCAGGGTTTTCATTGTGGTTGCACCTGGGCAATCCCAATGATTTCACTACACTTGCACAAAGCTGTAATAATTGACTGGAATTTAGTAAAGATGCTAAGACAAGAACAAAATCTAGGACTCCACTCTGAGGGCTTACACTGCTAGCAACAAAAATAAGCTACAAAATTATATTTCAATCACAAAATCCAGAAATTCATCTCTAAGTATGCCCAGGAAGCTCCAGATAAGTAATTGCCATTTTTATAACTGCACATTTCTTAATAGATTTCTACTTTCATTTCTATTTCAATACAAAAGCTTTAATTTGTGTAAAAACTGCATTGTCCAAATGATCATCTAGAAATATAGATTGTGGTATCAAATGCAGCTCTCTTGTATTTGTATGACACCTAAAGCACTGTCTGTGCACTGCAGGCTCAAAACAATGCATGAAAACAGCTGCTTCTGAAATAAGGGGTCCCTATAGCTTTATTTTGGCCTTGAAATAAGTTTAAGACAAGGAGAAAAGGATCCTTCAGAGCCATTTGGAAATTGTGAGCCACAAAAGGCCTGCAGAATAGGCAGTTGTGAAAAACAATCAATTCCATGGTGATGACACAAAAAGAAACACAATCAAGGACTATCAGCATTTCTGGCCATACAGTGGCCACAGTGGTCATTACAATTAAGAAAATTCGGCCGACTTCATGGGATTCTTTCAGCCTGTATTTGGGACTCAAACTTTTTGAGGGATTGTATTAGCCCTCAGACTTCTGTGAGGGAAGAAAAAATGCTGCCATGCTGTGCATCTGCAATGCTTGTGTCTATCCCTGTCTGAATCTAGAAGTCTTATTTTCACACTCCCACTGAAGAGAAATAAAGTGCTTTTGGTTTAAAGCCCACTAAAAGAGAGCTTCATTTCTATTTTTCTCACTCAAGCAGCAATGGCATTTTAACTGTAAATGTGGTTGTGTTTTGTGAGCAATGTTCTGTCTCAGGACTGCACATGGAAAACAAACTGCCAAGGTTCATTTGGAGACAGATGAAGAACTGCAAAACCTTTAATTAAAATTTTTTGCTATCCTTGAAACATGCAGAGTAGCACAGACACACCATTAGCTTTCAGTGGAGCTTAGTGGACACACTCTAAATCTACATTGTGGAAGCAATGCAGAATAGAGAGCTTTGAGAAGTGTGAGCAAGACTCAGTACTGGGATCATGGAAATTAATGGATTTTAAGGCTAAGCAATGTTATTTTTAACCACCCAGTCTTAGTCTCCTTTGTAACCACACAACTTCCTTGAAATTTTTGCTATAAGGATAATAAATGCGATTTAACTAATTTTTTTTTTTTTAAAGTCTAATCACAGCTAGAGCATTTCTGTGATGAACAGTCAGTTACAAGCCTTATTAGGTCATTCCAACTGCTAATTACCTTAGCTGTTGAAAATGTATGGCTTATTTCCCAGCTGAATTTGCCTATCTGCATCCTTCAGCCTTGGCATTTAGCTGCAAATTTGTAGTTAAGAGCATCTACTGAGAGACTTCTAGGGTTTGGCTGTGGGTTCTTCTGAACTATGATCAGACCACCTCTTGGTTTTTAAGCTGGCTGAGA